AGGCACAAAAAGAATGAAATACCTCAGCATCTTCCTAACCAGAGTAGTGAAACACCTCTACAGTGAAAACTACAAAACACTGCTCAAAGAAATCAAAGAAGACATGCACAAATGAAAAGATATTCCATACCCATGGTTTGGAAGAATCAATACCATTAAAATATCCATCCTACCATCGGCAGTCTACAAATTCAATGCAATGCCCATTAAATTATCAACATCATTCTTCTGAGACATGAAAATGACAATACAGAAGTCTATTTGGAAATATGAAAGACCACAAATAGCCAGAACCATCCTTAGTAAAAGAAACAAACCAGGTAGTATCACACTTCCAGACTTCAGCTTTACTATAAAGCTACAATAACCAAAACAGCCTGGTATTGGCACAAGAACAGGCAGATAGACCAATGGAATAGGATAGAGATTTCAGAAACAAAACCTTAATTTCTCAAACAACTCATCTTTGACAAAGCTTCCACCAATAACCACTGGGGAGAGCAGGACTTATTCAGTAAATGGAGCTGGGAAAACTGGCTGATCACATGCAGAAGATTGAAACAGGACCCCTACCTATCACATACACAAAAACCAACTCTAAATGGATCAATGACCTAAACATAAAACCTCAAGCTATAAGAATCTTAGAAAATGCAGGAGGCACCCTTACGGAAATTGGAATAGGCAACCAATTCCTGATCAAAACCCTGCCCATACCATAAGAGATAAGATAGACAAGCAGGACCTTATCAAACTGAACATTTCTGCAGGAAAAAACCTCCAAGAGAGCAGAGAGACAGACCACAGAATGGGAAAAATTATTTGCCAACTGTATGTCTGACAAAGGCCTAACATCCAGATCTACAAACATTCAAACATGCCAAAAGGAAAAAACAAACAGCTTTATGGGGCTAAGTGGACAAAAGATAAGAATAGGCACTTCTCAAAAATATGAGCAGCCAACAAATATATGAAAAAATGCTTAGCCTCACTAACCATCAAAGAAATGCAAATTAAAACCACACTGAGTCACCACCAACTCAAGTCAGAATGACCATCATCAATAACTCAAAAAACAACAGATGCTCAAGTAGATGCGGGGAAAAGGGAATGCGTCTACACTGTTGTTGGGAGTGCAAACTAATACAACCTCTGTGAAAAACAATGTGGTGATTCCTGAAAGATCTAAAAATTGAACTTCCATACGACCCAGCAATCCCCCTTCTAGGAATGTACCCAAAGGAACTCAAATCATTCTACAAAAATGGTATCTGTGCATGCATGTATGCATGTTTATTGCAGCACTATTCACAATAGCATAAACATGGAACCAACCATGCTACCCATCAAAAGTGGACTGGATTTAAATAATGTTATATATATATAAATGTTGTATATATATATATATATATATATATATATATATATACACACACACACACACACACACAATGGAATATTTTGCAGTCATAAAGAAGGGCAAAATTATGGACTTCGCAGCAAGTTGGTTGGATTTTGAGTCTGTCAGTCTCAGTGATCTATCACAGAAGTAAAGAACTGAGTACCACATGCTCTCACTCATAAGCAGACCCTGAACATTTATCATAATACTATATGAAAAAATGCTCAGCCTCACTAACCACACTGCCAGTGGAGGAAGGGGGTACATAACATCAATGAGAGTACCTGATCTCAAAACAGGTGAAGTGGGGACCAAAGGGAGGTCCAAACTTCACCTGTACGATGACCACTTATTTACCTAATCCTGAAGCGTACCCCACATCTTTAAAATAAAAAAGAAAAATTATTCCATTAAAATAATAATATCATGAGGTAAATAATATTAATACCCACATGTCTCAATCATAGAAATGAGGTCCACAAGGAACATTTGCATGTCTTCTATTAAAGAAAGAGACTCTTCCAATGTTTTCTTTCTATCACATCAAAAATTGTTATATTTTATTTGTGAACTTTATTTACCACTTCTGGGAAAAAATAAAAGCTGTATAGGGCAGCAGCCCCCAACCATTTTGCATCAGGTACCAGTTTCATGGAAGACAATTTTTCTACAGATGGGGTGGTGGGAGGGGAGAAGTGGGATGATTTGGGGATGGTTCAAGTGCATAACATTTACTGTGCATTTTATGTCTATTATTATTACATTGTAATATATATTGAAATAGTTATGCAACTCACCATATTGCAGAATCAGTGGTAGCCTGAATTTTTTTTTCCTGGGACTAGATGGTCTCATTTGGGGGTGAAGGGTGACAGTGCTAGCATCAATGCCTCAGCTCCACTTCAGGTCATCAGGCATTAGATTCTTGTAAGGAATGCACAGCCTAGATCCCTGCATGTATAGTTCACAATAGGGTTCATGCTCCTATAAGAATCTAATGCCACTGCTGATATGACAGGAGGCAGAGCACAGGCAGTAGTGTGAGTGATAAGGAGTAGCCTAAATATAGATGAAACTTCGGTTGCTGGCGCCTCTGCTCATCTCCGGCTGTATGATCTGGTCCTTAACAGATGGACCAGTTCGAGTCCATGACCTGGGGACTGGGGACCCTTGGTATAGGGTATTTGGGAGATGTGAAGAAATTTGAATATAAATTATGTATTAAGCGATATTAGGAAGTTATTGTTAATTTTCTTCAGTGTAACGATCATATTGTGATTATATAAGAAAATGTCTATTATTTGGGGATATGCCTGTTGAAATATTTAGGTAAAATTTGCTATGATGTTTCAAATTACTCTGAAGTAGCTAAAAAAAGTATGGCTCTGGCACTAAGTTAAAGCTGTTTCATCTAGGTCATGGAAATATGGGTATACATTGTACCAGTGTTTAAACTTCTGTACATTTAATTTTTTTCCAATAAAAAGAAAAACAAATAATAACTATTATTTTTGTGGAGGTATAAAATATTATCTTATTCCAAAAACATTATTCCATCTGTAACATTCATGACCAATGATGCTTCCACCTCTCTGTGGACTTTCCTGAAGGTCAAACGCCAGATTTGTTGGGACAGAGAAATAAAATAGTCCATGCACATTTTGCCAGGAAAAATTATAATGTAATAAATGAGACTCATGACTTCCAAAGTAATATTCACATATATAAATTTCATTTGGGATTGGCATGTACCATAATAAATGAAATTTGCATAAATGTGACTATAGTATAAAACTTTCTCTAAAGGAAGAGTTATTTTAAAGGTGGTAAACTGTATGTATACATGAAAACATGCTGTTTTGAGGAGCACAAAAAAACTGACATGAGTACCCCTATCCTTTTGACAGATGTGATCCTGACATGACCATATGTTTCTTGCACTGTATATTTTTAGCCATAACGTGAAGATCAAGCCTTAACCACCTTTTCTCTGGTCCTCTTCTCACCAAAACAGGTGGGTTGTTATAAGATATCTTCCAAAATAGACTACCATAAAGGGAGGGACAATCTTTAACAACCTTTCATGAGATATCATACATATATCGTATGTATGCATGTGTGTATATAATTATATATAATACACTGTATTTGTGTGTGTGTGTGTGTGTGTGTGTGTGTGTGTGTGTGTGTGTGTGTGTGTGTATAATTATACATTGAAATTTTGGAGAACTTGGTTAACATGAGTCATTAAAAGTCTGATCAACTCCTTTAGGGGCATCAACATTATTGAGTTTGTGTTTGCAACAAAGTAAAGACCAGTCTCAGTAGCTCAAAGACCTTGTTTGTTAGGAGGTTCTGCTTAGCTCTCAGCCCTTCTACCACTTGATCTCTTCTGTCTTCCAACCCAAGCATGTACTATATTCTGAAGCATGCTATCCGATTTTTAGAAAAAGTCAGTTATTCAGCAATTCTTCATCTCCCTTATTTGTTATATCTATATGTTAGCCTGAATTTGGCTTCGACAACTTAAAGGAATGCATGAATCTATTTTTCACAAGAAAATCTTCAGTTATGTAAAAATAATTACCATATACTGTTAAAAATACTTTTCTCATTCTTTTATTTATTCCCTTATATATTCCTTTTCTGTATAACTATTTAGTTCTAGACAGACACTTCTTCAAAAACATGTTATCCAGATTATCAGCATCAAAGTTTTCCTTTAGTGTCACCTCAATGTGTTATTGTTCCTTTTATAAAAATTCATAAAATGACTTCCAGACTTAAGACTTAAGAGCAATATTTCAGATGAATTGCTGGCCAGACAAGAATACAATAATAGTCTCTGCACAGGATGATATGTTTACACTCTAAAAAAAGTCTACAATAGTATTAGAAAATTTACAACATTTAGGTGTATTCATTATTCATATTTAACACTCAACTGAGATGCCCATTACACAAATAAATTATAGCTAAACTGTATAAAAATTGTCCTATAGGCCAGGTGCAATAGCTCAAGCCTGTAATCCCAGCACTTTGAGAGGCCAAGGTTAGGGAATTGCCTGAGCCTATGGATTCGAGACCAGCCTGGGCAACTTTGATCTCATCTCTACAATAAATCAAAAAATTAGCTGGGTGTGGTGGCACGAACCTGTGATTCCAGCTACTTGTAAGACTGAGGAGGAAGGATTGCCTGAGCCCAGCAGGTCGACACTGGGGTGGTCATGAGCATACCACTGTACTCCAACCTGGGCATCAGAGTGAGATTCCCACTCAAAAAAAAAAAAAAAAAAAGCCCCATACATGTAATTAAAAAAAAACAAAAAAAAAAAGTATTGCAAAGATTTAGACTAAGCACTGCATTATGTTTCCTTTGGCTTATTATTTCTGGATGTTGATATAATTTTGTCTTTTAATGCTGCCAAAACTGAAAATATAGAAATCCTCAAAAAATTTAATGAACAAATATTATAAAGGTTAGATCTCAAACAACAAGCTCCAAAAGCTCATACTTTTATTCACAAGCGTGCCTTTAGGATGCAACTCAGAGTCCAGTAACTTATACTTTGCACATAATTTAAATAAGTTTGGTTACCTGATTTCCATGCTCCAGTTTACAATAAACTGGAAGTAGATAGGAGGTTTGCTAGTCTGATCACAAGGACAGGAAAGAAATTCTGTCAAAAAGGAGATAAATCCCTCACGTAATTGGGTCCTTTTGGGTTATAAATAAGTTTTCCTGTTTATATCAGAACACCTTCATCCAACATTGTTATTACAGCATAGTACAGTTATGTTTGGTCATAATACTATGAATCATTCACAACATCACTTAATATTTACTGACATCTACTACATACTATACTTATATGAGTTTGTTTCTTCTCTCAAGAAGTTTAAAATATTCCTGTGCAGAAAAAAATCGAATTATATTTAGAACATTTTGTGTGGTAAGGTAAAGATGCATGAAATATAATTTGAAAACTAATTCCTGTGGACATTCTAGAAATTTAAATCTTGACAAAGCATATGAATAGTGAACCACTAAAGTATATTTTGAGAAAGAAGTGTATGCCTACTATTTTTATGCATATTTTTCTTAATTATGCTTTTACAATGAATATAATTTTGTAAAGCATATATTTGTATTAAATGAATAGCTGAATATAAATATATAATGAATAGATTTTAAAACAAATAGCTTATGAAAGTTTAAATATTTCCTTTCTTTTTTTTAGCAAAAGTTTTTTTAAATAGAATAACAATTTGAGAAACATGGTATAAATTTCAAATATTCATGACATTTGTTTGTCCACAAATTATGCTCATATATCTATATTATTATATTTAATATAGTACCATGATTAATGATTCATATAAATATGCTGATCATAGCTCCTTTTATTAAAAACTGGCTACAATACCTGTAGTCACATACACATGGCAAAGATGTAAAATCTATTCTCATTAGACTACTATCAATTGAATATAAATTATGTAATGCTCAAAAGAGAATAATTATATTTTTGTATGATATATGTAATCTACCATTTATTAGGTTTTTCAAAAAATAAAAGAAAATATTTTATATCAATTTTAATATTAAACAAATACTATCTATTTGACATTATTGAATAATTATCCTTGATTCTGTTCGTTTGTAATCTGAATCCTGAAGTTGAAGTTTTTATATTTTGAAATTGAAATTAAACTGTGTCAAGCTTTTTGTCATACATTTTCTGAGAATTTTAAATTCACTCAAGAAATATATATACTTCTGAGGGCTTATATTCCCTAAGTCGCCTCTCTTCTCTGCATTTCTGCTCTCATTGATTTGTTGTTTTCATTTGAGGATAATTTTGCCTGACTGTCCTCTTATAAATCCACTGTAGTGAACCAACATTCTGAAATTCTTAAAATTCATCCATATATATAATTTGTGCATATGGGAAAGATTGTGAAAATATTTTGAGGTAACATGAAAATTTTACAAAGTGAGAATAGAAATAAATTAAAATTGTAATTTCTTTGTTTTTTTGTGTTTTCCTTAAGGGTGAATAAAATAGGGGAAAAAAGCATTGCACCCACATTTACAACAACAAAAAAAGCTAGAAAATCTACAAGTTTATTGGTTTTCTTAAAACCAATCAGAGCTGTCAAAGAAAAATTGCACTGGCCTAAACAGACAACAAAATTTTTTCAATAATATTGCAATAGGAAAGAGAAACTGAACTCAACTGTGTTGAAACAAAAGGCAGAAGAGTTTTTAAGCACTGGGGTGAGATAGTGGGAAGTACTGGAAATAATTACATTTAAAGGGATGGCTCAAATATCTTTAAGAAAGGTATTCCTTTGTTTGAAACTGGAAAAGGCAGGGACAAGATATACATTACAAAGGGGCAGAGAATTTACAATGGCAAGTTTTCTAAAGTAAAAGCTGAAAGAAAAAGAAAGTCAGGGCTTATACTCATAATCCTGTCTAAAATTCTGTCAAGCTCAGGGAAAAGTTAAGACCGTCCTGGTCAGAAGTCACAAGGTGACCAACTAACCTGAGGTCTAGGAAGATAGATGCCTCTGAAAGGGATGTGATGCAAATACTTGCTTGTTTTGGGTAGATACCATCAGAAACTGGAAAGGTGAATTCAGCTAGAAGAGTTGATGAATTAGTTGAGCTTGAATCAGCTAAAGTGGCTAAAATAAATAATTGCTCTAAAACGAAGGATATGACAAAAGCCAACCTAAATAAAGTTCTAATACCAAAGGTGGGAAAATTTTATCAACAAAATAAAGTTAAATTTCATAAATTACAATAAATATCCATTAGCCCATAGTGAAAGAAATAAATAATTGAATGAATAAATACATACAGGAGAAGGAACAGGTCTTTAAAAAAATTTTTCAATTAATAAATGTAGAAAAAATAAGGAAAACAGAAAATCATTGTTTGGCAAAGACTATAGTAATCAATATTGTGGCAGGATTCAATGATGAATATTAATATTAGTAGGTAAACATTTGAGAAGGAATAAAATTTTAACAGTCTTAAGCCACATCCCTTAAGACATTTATTAACTGCAAAGAAAAAAACAGCAATAGCTTTTCTGCAGAGAAAATCAGCAACCAACACCTTAACCAAATGACAAAGGCCAACATTGCCAAAAATGAGACCAATCAACATCTTTAACTTCTGATTTAATGGATGGAGAAGTACATATCAATTCTGTGATAGTGCCTCCAAAAATGGATAATCTTAAAATTGTGAGGAAAATATAATAGAAATTCAAATTACGTGACATTTTATAAAATACTTCATCTGCACACTTCAAAGGTATTAACATCATGAAAGATAAGTGAAGGCTGAAGAAATGACATAGTCTAGAGTGAAGATGGAGATGCAGTAGCTAAGTAAAATGTTGGATCCCAAATTGAATGCCAGAGCAAAAAATGAACATGAGTAGAAAATTACTGAAATCTGATTCAAGTCTACAGTTTAGTTAGTAGTATAATATGAATGTTCATGTCTTCATTTTGGCAAATGAACCCTGGTAATGCAAGATGTTAACATTAGGAAAAATAGGGTAAAAGACAAATGGGATCTCTGTATTTTTTTTCAAATTTTCTGTAATACTAAAATTACTTCAAAGTATAAAGTAAAAACAATGTAAATTATGCATCCCCACCCTTAAATGTATGTCAGCAAATATAGAAAAAAATTATTTCATGATGACCACCTTTATTAGTAATTGGTATCCCACCTTCTTATATGACTGCTCTCTATCCTTTCCTCTTTCCTCCTGTTTGTTCTTCCACAGCAAAATACTATATATTTATAGAAAACTTTTTGAGTAGTATTTTCTTATTTATATCCACCTTTCAGAGCTTCATTTTCCAACACTGTGCAGTTTATTTTCCTAAAGATTTCCCTCTCTAAATAAAACTTAAAATATATTTTTCTCCTCGCTACATAACACCTTAGTGAGGAGTTGAAAGAAGTAAGGATATAAATAAATAAGAAATCATTATCCTAAGATTATAGATACCTACCAAAGTAGATCTGAATATTAACTTATAAACTGAAAAACTACAAAATCTTACCTAATTTTGGATAACAACATGGATTCTTAAAGAAACTTTTGCCCCATTTTAAATATGAGAATGCCATCATTCGATAAACAACTTGTGATTCAGGATGCTTAAATGAGTTCTGATACCATAATAAAATAAAATAGATTTCAGATTGTTCTTGCTAAGAGGAACTCCACATGGGTAAGGCAGCTAGATTAAGCAGCCTATACTTTTCTACTCTGCTCTATTCTAGATCAACCTTCTCCTTGAGCATTTCTTTCTAATTATCACTGCTATCAACTTCTTGGCTCCATTCGAGGATCAAAGAACCTCTACATACTCTCTATCTAATATCTTGCTTGTATGGACAAACAAAATTTCTCTTAACTCTCTATTACCAGATAGCATAAGATAATGTATAAACATATTAGACAAAACTTACAGATTTTAAAAGGCACACATGCAGAATAATATGGTCTTAGTAAAAAGATATTTTAGGTCTAGCTCATTTCTATGCTAGTTACGGCCCATCCTCTATATTGTGGAAACCACCATATATCCATTACTGACCACCCAGGCCCCCAATTATGTCCCAGATATAATTATGGGTAACCAATTTCCAGAGACCAGGATTTTTCCACTAACAGCTTCCTGAGAACTCACTTCAAGTGAGAGGCATTAAAAACGCTAGTGAATCTTCAGAACACACCAAACAGCTTTCAAAATGTAGCTTTACAGGCTCTGAAACTATGGCCTATCAGAATACTACAAAAAGTTCTTCAAGTACTACACAATACTAGACTATTGCTAAAGGAATAGGTCTTCTATTATGATGGTATTGGTTCTGAATTCTTAAACAGTCAGCAATACATTGAAATTTATAAGAAATTGAATATGATATCTAAAATTCTAGATTACTTATAAAAATGTTTTTAATGTAAACATTTTAATATAAACATGCTTTTTAAGTAAAACAATATAAGTGACTTTAAGTGTAGTACCTACAGTAGATATTTCCAAAATAAATGCTTTTCTCAAGAGCATTTTTGGAATTAAGGAAAAAATAATTCTTAGAAAAATGACTTATTTTATGAGTTGAATGTGTTATCAGTATACACACTACATGTTTCTATTTTCTCTAAATTCTTAGGCTAAAGATTCATTTAGTAAATCTCCAAGTAAATTATAAATTGTTTCCCAAGAGGTGAGATACAATAATTAAAAAATAAGATTGTTTGGGACAAATTGTAAAATGAATTTTTCAATGACATGTTTCAGTGTTAAGCATCTATCATTTATCTATGTATTTGTGTGTTTACTTGTTTAAGGTGAAATGTAACAATTTGGGGCTCTTAAAGGACAGAACACAGCAACACTAATTGGGAATTGTCTTCCAGAAGCCAAGACTTCTTAGACTTTTCTGACAAGATAAGGATCATCAAGTATTCTTCCATCAGAATGTGATAAAAGTCCTCTTTGCGCTGCTCATAAGAATTAACAAAGTGAGACAATAAGTGAAGAATTAAGATAGAGAAACTTGCAAAAAATCTATGCAAACAAGTCTATATTATATTCTAAGATTACACCTTAGATTATTTCAAAAAGGCAAAAATAAATAAAGAACTTTAAAGATTCATGAAAGAATAAAATGACATTCATTTTGAAAATTTAAAGTTGTAT